TTATTTGTTTTTTCGTTTTTGAAATACTAATGAATTAATAAAATGTCGGATTATGAGTAATTAAAAACAGTTTTTGCAGAAAATATGCATTTTAGGTTTTGTCTGCCTTTGGTTTTTCTAGATCATCGATGAAAATGTTTTTCGTTTGCTTCTTAAACAACGTTTGAAGAAAAGGGACACCCACAACCCGCAACCGTTTATTTGCTCAGATCTTTGATAAAATAGTTCTGTCTTCGATAACAAAACGAAAAAGGAAATTTTGATAAATTACTGGGGTAAATCACCGAGTACAGGTAATTTGAAACAGATTTGCATTTCAGGATTGAGTTCTGGACTTGTACCGATGTATCTCACCGAGATATCACCGGTGAATTTGCGTGGTTCACTGGGTAGCGTTGCACAACTCTTGGTTACCATCGGGATTTTGTTCTCACAGGTCATTGGTCTTCCTCAGCTTCTTGGATCGGTGAAGCTCTGGCCAATGATTTTTGGTAATTTCGTAAACACTTGTTTACCGGCTAAATTGATTTTAATTTTTCCAACCTGATAAAGATAGTGAGACAACTAATCCGCCCAGTGTTCATTTATTTGTTTCGATAGTAGTTTGGTACGACATATACCCGGGAATCAAACTAGCATCTCGTTTATAAGCAACCATTGAAAAAGGGCCATTGATGGCTTTGCCAGCAAGTGGTTTCTTTTGGCAGTTGCTATAGTTCGGGTTATTTCCCAAGCGCCTCCACTTCTTATAGAAGGCGAATGCGGAGATGGTTTTGACTTTGGATTTCGACTTGAATAGCGATAGCAAAAAAACCTGTTTTTTTACGATTCTTCGATTTATTCCGATGGCATTTGGTAGTGACGAGCCTAGCGCGTCAGGGACTGTCCTTAGCTTGCTTCACAGCTAACTTTCGAAAGAGGGAAAAGTGATAGCCTTGTTAGCTTGTAACTATTTTCTTTGCCAAAATTTTGCTTCTTTTGACCATTTTATTGCATTAGTGGTTGACAAAATTTATGACTGAATTATAGTATTATTTCTTATTGTAAGGAATTTTTCTCCAAAATTTAGTCTTTTATAGCATTTACCGCGGTACCGGCGGTGTTCCAGTTAGCCACGTTGCCGATGATTCCGGAATCGCCCAAGTACAACCTCATTGTGAAGAACCGCGCCGAGAAAGCCGAAGAAGATCTGAAAAAGCTGCGAGGAAAGGAGGACGTATGTTATTTCCAGTCCAGAAAAATACACCGGAAACTGATGTTCGCTGTGCTGTTCGAGTAATGAAGTCTAGATTATGAGGGAGGAAAATGTTTCGAATTGAGCTTCAGTTCGAATCGGAACTGAAATGACTGGTTTTAACTCTGCTTTCCGCCATCCGTGTAGCACATTTTGTTGCTCTTTCTAAGCGTGCTACGTCCGTATGTAAAATATCTCCATGCCTCGTTCAAGTGGATCCTTCTATCTCACTGACG